CTCTCTCAAATCCAAAAGAATGTTCTTAGACAGTGTGGTTTGTGAGTGCAAAGAAAAAGCATAACCGGAAACAATTTAAAAATCCATTAAAAGGAAAACAAGACAGGTGAATAAATTGTGACGTGGCCGTAAGATAGAATACTAAACAGGGGTCCGAGCTAGTGACATGCATAAGGGGGGCTGAATCTCACAGTCTGGAGCAAGAAAAGGAAATTGCTATAGAATATGGACGATAAGATCCATTTCTATAAATTTAAAAAAATGCAAAGTTAATGCATTTTGAAGGGACATATTTATACATGATAAAATTAAAAAGGAAAGCAAGCGATGACCCTTTGTCATTAAGGGTAGGCTACTTTCAGAGGCGGGGAGTTTCTGAGGGCCGGTGAGTTCCAGATCACCTTACCTGAGGTGGGGTGGGGGGAGCGGGGAGAGGAACTTGACTTTGCCAAGGCCCATGAAGGAAGGAGTCCATTTCCTCTGACATCTCTCTGTGCTTCCTGCTACATTTGTCTTTGCTGTTAATGTTTCTGAGAATACCGGCTTGTAGGTATGATATATTTTTTTTCCTTATAAGAAGTTCTTTGTGTTGTTGAACTCAAGAATATAGTTTATATGTGGGATATTCTCTGGGAGTGATGAATGTTAATTTTGTTTTTGGGTGTTTTCCACTACTTTCTTAATCATATAATTTCTTTCTCAGATGATTTTGAAATAGTTACTGTAAAAAATTAATGTGGAACAGTTACTGTAGTAGAAAACTTGATAAAATGGAAGAAATAGGAGCTTGGAGTCCAACAGACCTGGGTTGAAATTTTTTTCTCCACTCAATACCTATGCTTTATTATCTTCTCTTTGCTGCTTTCTGCTCCTCCTCCCCTCCATCCTGAAACTAGACCTGATTTAGTTGCTTAGTATCTAGTAGTTATCAACATCCTTATCATCATCATTGTTGTTAAAATCTGTAGGGAATGGTGTCAAAATAAATTACAGAATCCAGAACAAACAAGGCACTCATAGATTTCAGAAGGAACTCTTCTTTTTGTTGTGGTCTAAGCTGTATATGTCTCCCCTGTAAAAATTAGTGTGAAAGCAGCTAATCATGGCCCATGATGATTTTTACTGTTAATAAATAACAGGTTGATTGACATAGAATTCACAGACCATAAATCTCACCCCCCCTTTTTAAAAAATTTTTAAAGATTTTATTTATTTATTTGAGAGAGAACACAAGCGGGGGCGGGGAGGGACAGAGGGAGAAGCAGTCTGCCCACTAAGTAGGGAGTCCGACACAGGGCTCAATCCTAGGACCCCGGGATCATGACCTGAGCCGAAGGCAGATGCTTAACTGACTGAGCCACCCATGTGGCGCAAATCTCACATTTTTAAAGTGATATTAGTAGTTTTTAGTATAATCATAAAGCCGCACATCTGTCATCACTAATTCCAGAACATTGTCATCACCAAAACCAAACCCAGTACCTGTTACCACTTATTCCCCATTTTGCCCATTAATTCTCTAAAGCTGCTAATCTCTTCTTTCTCTGTAGATTTTTCCATTCTGAATATTTGCTGTTTTTTTTTTTAAACTTGGCATGGTGTTTTCAGTATTATGTTGTATCAGTACTTTGTTCCTTTGTGTTACCCAGTAACATTCAGTTGTAGTTATATCATACTTTATTTATCCATTCATCAACTGGTGAGCATTTGGATTGTTTCTACTTTTTGGTGATGATGAAATAAAGCTGCTGTGCACATTCCAGTACAAGGTTTTGTGTGGATCTGTGTTTTTAGTTTTCTTCCTCACAGCAAGTGTGGAATTGCTGGATCAGATGGTTACTCTGTTGTAACATTTTGAGGGGCGGCCACTAGGTTTCCACACGGTTTCCGGAGTGCCTTTACCACTTTATATTCCTACTGGCAATGTATGAAATTCCAGTTTCTCCACATCTTCACTAAAGTGTGTCTCTTTTTTCTAACAGGTGTGAAGTATTTTCTCCCTGCAATTTCGATTTGCATTTTCCTAATGACTAATGAGGTCGAGCATCTTTTCATGTACTTACTGGCCATTTGTGTGTCTTCTTTGGAGAACTTCCTGTGCTAATCCTTTCCTCATTTCAAAATTTAGGTGGTTGTTTTAAAGAGTTCTTTATGTCTAGGGTGCCTGGGTGGCTCAGCGGGTTAAGCCTCTGCCTTCAGCTCAGGTTGTGATCTCAGGGTCCTGGGATCGAGCCTGCTTTCCCCACTTACTCTGCCCACCTCTCTGCCTACCTCTCTGCCTACTTGTGATCTCGCTCTCTGTCAAATAAATAAATAAAATTTTAAAAAAGAAAAAAGAGTTCTTTATATCTATTTTGAATACAGGCCCTTTATCAGACAGATGACTCGCAGTATTTTCTCCCATTTTGGGAGTTGTCTTTTCATTTATTGATGGAGTCCCCCCTCACTCTACTGAAATATAATTGACCTGTAACATTGTATAAGTTCAAGGTGTATAAAGTTTTGATTTGGTGCCTTTATATATTGGGAAGTGATTACCAACGCAGTGTTAGTTAACACCTGCCTCATGTCACATTATTACCATATATTTGTTATGGTGAGAACGTTTAAGATCTACATTCTTAGGACCTTTCAGGTATATAATACAGTATTATTAACTCTAATCACTATGCCAGACATTAGATTCCCAGAATTGATGGTATCCTTCGAGTTCCAGAAGTTTTTAATTTTTTTAAATTAACCTATAATGTATTATTTGCCCCAGGGGTACAGGTCTGTGAATCCTCAGGCTTACACATTTCACAGCACTCACCACAGCACATACCCCCCAGTGTCCATAACACAACCACCCTGTCCCTCCTCCCCCCCCCCCCCCCACCAACTCAAAAAGTTCAGAAGTTTTTAATTTTGTTGAAGTCCGATTTATCTATTGTTTACTCTGTACTTGGATTTTTGGACTCATACTGATGAAGCTATTGCCTAACCAAAAGTCATGAAGATTTGCTTCTCTGTTTTCTTCTAAGAGTTTTGTGGTTTTAGATCTGTGATCTGTTTTGAGTTAATTTTCTATATGGTGTAAGATAGCATCCCAACTTCATTTTTTAGTATGTTGATATCCATTTGTCCCAACACCATTTGTTGAAAAAGATTGTTCTTTTCCCCGTTGATTTTCTTGGCATCCTTTTCAAAAATCATAATTTTGTCATAATTTTAAGGGTTTATTTCTGGACTCTCAGTTGTAGCCCATTGGTCTCTATGTCTAGCCGTAGGCCATATTATTCTATCTTGATCATTTTAGCTTTGTAGGAAACTTTGAAATCAGGAAGCATGAGTTGTTCAGCTTTACTCTTCTTTCTCGGCATTGTTTGGCACCTGTGATTTTTTAAGGCTGTTATCTTTGGTGTGTTTTCTCTTGGGAGACTTAATTTATTAATGTCCAAAATAGAGACTTAGGAATCAAAAAGAAGAAGTTGGATTTTGTGTGATTAAATCAGTGATAAATGCCAAAATAACTTCAGCTTATTGACCTCCAGTTACTTCTTTATCCATCGTTTTGTGTGCCCACCGTGTGTTAGACACTGTGCTATTTTTCAGGGAAACCGGGATGAACACACACGGCGTCTCTGTAGCAAGCTTATGTTGGCTCCTGGTTTCGTATTTTTGAATGCAGTGTGGACGTTTGATAGATCAAAGGATATAATCAAAGCAGATCTATCATTGGTTGCAGGTCTTGCCATATTTGAAAGTCCTATCAGTGCAAATTCTTACCTTGTTATTCTGCTAGTTGGAATGAAAGTATAAATGGATGGAAGAAGAGAATGTAGCTGTGTTGCACATGTTGAAAAAATTACAAGGGCACCGTATGTTCTCATTTACACTTGGGTGTACACATAAATCTCCCATTTAAAAGTTCACTTGAAGGCAAGGGCCTTGTGTTATTTATCTTTCTTACTGATGACTGTCATCTAACAGTACTTTAAAAATATTAGCTGTTCAGGGAGCCTGGGTCCAACTCTTGATTTTGGCTCAGGTCATGATCTCAGGGTTGGGAGGTCAAGCCTTGCATCGGGCTCCATGTTGGGCATGTAGCCTGCTTACGGTTCTGTCTGTCCCTCTGCCCCTCTTACCCCCTTTCTTTCTAAAAAACAATTTAGGTGCTCACTATTTGTTGACTGAATAATTGCATGGGTCAAGCCATGAATGCGTGCTCCTATCTTATGACCTTATATTAAATGAGGGTTTGCATAGCTTTTATTGGCTATCATTCTTGCCCTTAAGGTTCTTGATTTAGGGGTAAATGTGAAGATGAGACGCTCAATATGATACAGCTTTACAAAAAGAAGATTTATTGAGTCATAAATAATATGAAAAGGAAATTGTACAAATAGCCTAAATACATTTTAATATATACATGTTAGGAGTCACTTGGATCCACAAGGTGATACAGGGTGGTAGAGGAAGTCCTGAGTGGTGATGGGATTTCACGTAGGGCTCAAAGAACTGAGGGAACACATATTGATAGAGGGGAGTGGCAAAAACTTCCAGGCCAAGAGGTAGTTCTCAGAATGGGTGGCACTGTTCAGCCGGGAGACTTCTGGGAAAGTATGGATATTTTTGGTTGTCCTAGTATTCAGGATTGCTATTGGCTTTTCGTGGTTAAAGGCCAGGGAGGCTAAAGTCCCATAGTGTGGAGTTAGGAGTTGATTTGCCCCAAATCGCAGTGACTTCCTATTTGCGATATTCTTGAAGGAAACAGATTTAGCTGCATAAGCAGGAAAGTAGTGTTTATGAGTTGTGTTTTGAAGCAAATACTATATGTTTGGTTTGGTTTTTGCCATTGTAGAGGCGGAACTGGGAGAAGTGTGTAGTTAGAGTGGAGTACAGCAAGGGAACATCTTAGGAACTGTTACAGGGATTTATAGTTGATCAATTTGGATGATCTTGGTGATTCTTAACATTTTCTCTTGTCTTATAGTTTGATTTTCTTTTCTTTTTCTTAGAACGAGCCTCTGACCCCAGGTTATCATGGATTCCCAGCACGGGACAGCCAGGTTGGTATCTGCTGTTACAACTCAGATGAGATGGGTGTGTGTGGGTGTGTGTGTGTGTTTTCATACTAAGGATGATGTGGTAGAGCGCATTTCCTGAAATAATTTTGGAGAGTGATACGGTTAGTTTCAGCAATGAATTTACATTTAGAGATACGAATAAAATATATTTTTTTAATCCTAAAAGAATTATAATCATGTTACTGAAACTGTGGATACTACAGGGGAAAAAAAAAATCACTCAGGCATAGCCATTATTGCTTTTGTTTTTTCTTCTCCAGGCTGATGATAATTTTTTAACCTGGTTTTCTTGATGTCTCATAATTTTAAGTGCTGGGCTTGTCTCTTAATTCTCTGCCACTTAGCCCCTGCCTGCACAGATTTTTTTGAGTCCTTGAAATAATCTGCAGCAAGAAAATTCCATTCTCCTTCCTGGGGGAATTCAGCCTTATGGTTTTAATGAGGGAAGGCTTGCTTGAGAGAGGGAAGTTTCTGCTGTCTTTCTTTCTTAGGGAGGATGATTGGAAAAAAGCCCAGGCCCTACTGTGGGTAGAGCAGTACTGCTTCCTATGAGACAGCCTCTGGATGCTTTAGGTGAGTGTATAAAATGCCACCCCTAGCCTTCCACGGTCTGAAACCTTGAGCAGATGAGGCTGAAGCCGCATTAGGCTGGAAGAATAGGTAAAGCTGCTTCAGAGCAATGATGCGACTTAAGATACCTACCCTCTGAAATTTGCCTCCTTGATGTCCGGGCATATAGGTATTTTTTGGGAGATTTGAAAGGATAGCTCCTAGCACTAACTTTGAATGCCTGTCCAACTTCCCTATAGGGTTGTCCAAAATCCTGCTCACTATTAGGCTTGTCCAAAGGACATGTGTCATCAGAGTGCTAAACCCAAAGTGTTGTGACATGGTTGGATCTCATCAGAGCCCGTGATGCTGATCTTAACAACTGGGACGACCCATCATCGCAGTCCTCTGAGTACTTGCCCAGTTCTTGCACTTTTGGTGCTGGGTTGGTATCAGACCGGCCCCAGGTAGGGTATGAAGAAAAAGGGGGAGGGAGAGTGGTCTTGATCCTCGTGCTCTTCTCCCAGTGGGATCATCACCATAGCAATTGAAGTTTGTCGCTATGGAAGTTTTGTTGAAAGATAACAGTCATTTACTACAGATCTAAACAAAATATAGATGATCGTTCCTTCCTTCCTTCCTTCCTTCCTTCCTTCCTTCCTTCCTTCCTCCCTTCCTTCCTTCCTTCCTGGTTTGGGTCTGCTCTAGAGCTTTTGTAAACTGTGGAATTTATGCCCTTTGATAGTAGTTCTGTACCATGGCCGTATATCAGGAAAAGTACTATGGCCTAGAGCTCAGCCCGCAGACGTTCTGATTCAGTAGGTCTAAAATCGGGTTTAGTCATTCACATATTTAGAATCCTCTACAGCTGATGCTGTTTTGCAGCTGGAGTCAAAAAGTAGTGCTATGGGCTACGTTAAAAGGAGTGGCATTTTCTGTTTCATCCTGTACTTTTCACCTAGGACCCTTAAAACAAAGGATCATGGTCAGTCTTCCATCTTGCATACCAGTGCATATGTTTACTTCCTTATAAAATATTACTTATGTTGGATGTAGGCTTATTTTAGATATGGGAAGGTAAAAGTAATTGATAAAGCATGGGGATAGATGTGCTGAGTTTAAAGGATCCGAAAGGTACTGTGTAATGCTCTCTTCTTCCTATGGGGATTGCAGATCGATGAGAAACTAAGCAAAAAGAGTTAAGAGGAATTTGTTAAAGCCCAGTTGCTTGGAACTGCTTTATTTTTCCTTTCTCTTGTGGTAGGGTCCCACTTCTGTCACGTGCACCCTCATTACTCATACGCTGTCTGCCGTAGGTCTAGGCAGACCCCTTTTGCCACAGTTTAAAGCTGTTAATTTACTTTGAGGCACATTCTGATGGTGACAGGTTTATATTAGTTTATTTTCTTGGGCTTTATTTTGTTCTCTGGCTGGATCTCTGAATTAGAGATCTTAGAGCAGTGCAAACAGGCAAATATTGAATAGCTGCTTGTTGTATTTGATGAAAACAGAATCCAAATGAGTACTGCTAATTAATGCCCCTAACCTTGTGAACTCACTTTGGGCACGGCGGTTTGGGAGGCATTTATCAGTGGGTAACACTGGTCACCGAGCAGCCTGAGCTGGGCAGAAGCTGAACTTGGGATCTTTACATCTCCCCAGAGTGGTTTGGCTCAGCAAATCCAGGAGCCGGGGCTGTGAGGTGAAGGTGAATTTTAATTGTGTCTTTATTTGCCCTCCTCATTCTTTTGCCGTTCCTTTCTAAACAGATGGGAACCGTCCCGAGACATGATTTTTATCAGCATCTCCTCGTGATTTTAAAAGAGGCAGAGTTAAAATCCTGGTCCTCCTAGAACACTGTCATCTGTGCTTTCTCACCTCATCCTCACAGTCACCTCTTGAAGTAGATAAAGCAAACACTTCCTTTGGAGAGAGCAGGGAACTGAGGCACACGGAGATTAAAGTGGCTTATGCAAGGCAGCCTATCCGATCGTAGTTGTGTAAGGACTGAAATTTGTCTTGTCTTTTGTTGAGGGCCCTTTCCTCTGTCCTGGGGATTGTTCCCTCGCACAAGGAGAATGTGGTCATGTGCGTGTGTGCCTGCTTACCCCCATACTTCGTTTATTGTTTGGCGGCTTCATAGGCCTCGGGAAGCTCAACCACAGATCTAGGAAGCCATGGCCCCTGGTTAAGGGTTATTGCCCCTGCGTTGCTGAGCACCAAGTAGACCGACATCTCACTGTTCAGTGACCTTTTTCCTGCTGTTATGTAAGCTCCCACTGGCACATTTGAATCAGAAACTTTCGGAGCAAAGGAGGGGGAAAAAAAACACCAGCTACCTTCTAGAGGTTTTGCTTTTTTTATGTGCGGTTGCCCCAGCCTTCTTGCCAGTCAGTTAGCCAGCTTTCTGAGATGACAGGCCATTGCATTCGTAAGGCACTCCAAGTGCTTCACCGTGCTTGCTAATGGGCTCTCTCTGTGGCCGTGCAGGAGACGGACATCGTCCAGATTATAGAAGTGAAAACCAGCTGGAAGGCTGAGGGTCAGGTTGATAACAATATAGGGTTTAGATTCCCAGCTGATTCTTTCTCTGTGGTTTATATATATGTGCAGGTGCTTATTTGAGTGTTAAGGCTGGAATAATTTGTGGGTTTGTGACATTTTTAAATGAGAGAATGTCTGAGTATTAGCTCCGGAGTTTTTAGATAGGAGGGGCTTTGGCGTAGCAATCTGGTGAGAAGGGGACTTAGTTCTGCAGAGCAGGCTTACTATTTTTGCTAACATTGTTTGTTTATTTAGGATGGCTTTCAGGGCCTTTAGAGAGTACAGTGGGAGTCCCGAGGCCAGCCTCTTGCCACCTCTTGGTGCTGTAACTTTATGTCTGCTACATTAGGGTGGCCATACCATTCCTCATTCTAGTTGGGGCGCCTTTGAGAGTGAAAAGCAATGCTCATGTTGAAACAGTCCCAGGCAAACCGAGATGGGTGGGGTGTGTGGTCATCTTAGCCGTAAGGCCAGAACTCTAGCACATGTCCCCTTGACTGTTGTGATCAGGAATTGGAATTATGGCACAGTGCATTACGTAACATTTAACCTGTGCGGGAATGAAACATTGCCATTCAGGTTTGAGATGAGAGAGTACAGACTCTTGGTTGGGTTCAGGTGTTGAGTCAGGTATAGAGCTGAGAGTAATAGTATGTTAAAAAAAAAAAAAAAAGACTGATGTTTATAAAGTACTTTACAGTGTGCTTCCATGGTTACTGAGTTTTGACCTTCACAATAGCTTTGCTAGGTAGGTGGGGCTTTATTATCTCTATCCATAAGAAAACCAACACAGAAGGGCGCTTGGGTGGCTCAGTTAAGCATCTGACTTTTGATTTCAGTTCATGTCATGATCTCAGAGTCCTGGGATCAAGCCCCACATTGGGCTTCCCACTCAGCAGGGAGTCTGCTTGGAAATTCTCTCCCTTTCCCTCTGCCCCTCCCCCTACTTGTGCACACACTCTCTCAAATAAATAAATAAATCTTAAAAAAAATATAGAACCAACACAGAGATTTTTATTTTTATTTATTTATATTTTTTTATTATTATTTTTTAAAGATTTTATTTATTTATGACAGAGAGATAGCAAGACAGGGAACACAAGCAGGAGGAGCTGGAGAGGAAGCCTGATACGGGGCTTGATCCCAGGATCATGACCTGAGCTGAAGGCAGATGCTTAACGACTAAGCCACCCAGGTTTCCCATCACAGAGATTTTTAAATGAATTTCCAATGTCACATAGAAGGGAGGTGGCAGAAATGGACTTGAACCCTGGATTTTCAGCCTCCAGTGTCTTGTATTTCCCATTTGTATTCTTCTGTCAGTGTTCTCTATTCCTTGAATGGGGATGTTCTCTTGCTAGTGTGACAAGATATTATGGAATCCTTGGGGAATGTAGCAACATGAAAAGGTTTCGTATGACCTGGATGTCCCTTGAGTAACATGTCTGTCAAATTTTCTTCCTGTCTTGTTTGTTAAAATAGCTTATGGTCCACAGTTTATCTTTTTGTATTTAAAATGTAAAGAAAAAATTAATATCATGGTGTTAAGATTTTTATCTTATTTATAAAATGCTGGTCAGTGGCTCCTTGAAATTTTTTTCCTTTTCCTAAAATTCTGTTGAAAAGCCACTCTGTTGACATGTTTAGGTGAAACACGGAAACAGAATGTCAAAGGAGATGTTCAAGTTGGCAGATACGACTTTGACTCTTAAGAGATTTTAATTGGGAGTGGCAGCCGTACTTTTAATTGAGAGGATAGATTAAAAACGACCTACGAGGGGCACCTGGGTGGCTCAGTTGGTTAAGTCGGTTAATTAACTCAGTTGGTTAAGTCCGACTCTTGATTGTAGGTCTTGATCTCAGGGTCCTGAGTTCAAGCCTCTTGTTGG